AGCTTTTTCTTGTTTATTTATCGACAATCTCTAATTAGTTTCCATACGTTTTACAAACAATAAACAATGAGTTCCATATAATAATAATCAAACATACATCAAATCAAATGTTTCTTTACCAACAACGTTATTTCGATTTCCATGTATGTTGTGTGAAACAAAGCAATCTACGCACGAAACAGTCTGCGTTTTTATTTGTTATTTTTTTTAAATATCACCGATCCAATCACACATTGCTTAACTTTCGAAAAGGTTATTTTTTTAATATAAAACTTATACAAATATATTTTTACTAAAATCGCAACAGTTAATTAAAATTGTTGATTTAATGCGTAAAAAAAATGAGTGAAAATAAGATTTATAAAACAAAATGAAACATTGCATTTATGCTTATTATTGTTTCGACAGATCATTAAAATTAATGATGTAGTGCAAACAATAAGTAATTATCAATTTTATAAACAATTTACTAACATGAAAAGTCTTATTTTTTTTTTAAACTCATTTAGTTTATTATGAATACTCGCTTTTTGCCTAAAGGGAATAGATAATGGTCTCAATTATGATACATTCAAGTGCGTTTAACGTGCATTGTGCATGAATGTCCAATAACAACACACTCAAAATACAAACAATACACTATACAATAAATAATAGTAATTGTTTTCTCTTTTCTTTGGTATAAATGTACTAAGTTACTTTTACAATATTAATGAATTAAATTATTAGGTTTAATCAATTTTTCTTACCTATAGCTTAGCTATAACATTATATTTCAGTGTGTTTATATTTACATAAATTGAAAAAATATTCTCAACTTTGTGGTTATCAAAAATTATTTTTATATATAAATATTATGTACAAAAAAAACGCCCGGAATATGCAAATCACAAACGTAAATTAAGCTCATTGGTTAAGCGTGAAAGACTGCTGTATGCCCACCCAATTACCAAAAATGTTGATTAAGAAATATATAACAACAGAGATGGTGACAGTAAAGCGAAAATTAAGCGATTCGTTGTTGTTTTTCTCACTGACTTGTATGTACAGGTGGGATGATTTTTGGGATCGTGTTGTGCGAATCAAAGGAATTAGTACGTTTGCACAAGAAGAATAATAACAGAGAAGGAGGAGAGCAAGGCAGATTTTTTTTTAAAGAAGAATGCTTTGTTTGTGTCACCTGGTGATGGTATTTGGTGGTTATCAAGGGCACCATTGGTCGGATCGGGAGGCGGCACTGGACCCAACTCGATGGTCTGATGGGGCATCCGGACCTAAAACCTCCCTACAGATTCTCTACAGAGGAGGACGAAGACGCACATGTAAACCACGCAAGACCGGACTATTATTTTTTTTCGAGAAACATACAAAAAAAAACAAACAAAATAAAAGAATAGTAATAACGAAAAAAAAAATCAAAATGTGAACAAACTTTTTCTGGATTGGTAATTTGGTGCAAATTGAATTTGAAAATAGGATAACCATGGTGATGATTTGTGCGATAAAGTTAACCGGAAAGTTGAATTTACTTTTGAAAGGGGTCCCTCTCTTTCTCTCCACAACTTTTTGTTTGAGCTTAGGGAAATCTTTGTTTTGATCGTGGCGAGTTTTGTTGTTCGTCTTGTAGAGCGGGGGCGGACCGCCACTGACTGGTTTGGTCGTCGTCGGACTGCCGCGACTCGGGAAAAAGGAGTAAGCGGACGGGCACCGTCAGCCGGGATCGCAGTCAGCTGCAGCCGATGACATTTGGCGCGTGCGACGAGGGGGTGGGTTCGATAGGCGCGCGCGACACACGCCGCGGGTCGGCAGGTGGTGAAAGGGGTGGAGGATTGCGAAATGACCTAATGAGAAGTGACGGGCCCGACCCGGAAACGAAGATTCGCGCGCGCGTCGTATTAAAAGCAACCGGAAGCGACATCAGATATTCACAGCCGCCTCCGCCTCTTTGTCTTCGGCAAAGCTAACACCATTTGGGAGGCGGGGGCTAGGAAAACGTCGTAGCATGCAAATTGAGACCTATTAATTATCCTATCTACTACATTACCTAGATTACATACAACTCGCAATTTAGTACTTCTATTAGTACTAACAAAAAAAAATAATTGGCAAATCGAAAATATTAAATTAGATTATCTGGAATTATTAGGTTGATGATGAAATTATTTTAGTTTAAATTAAGTTTGTAAACCTAATTCTTAGGAAAACAAATTAGTTTTAGATCTTACCCGAATTATCGTTTAGGGGCTAACGAAATGATTTTTCCAAATTAACTTTAGATTAATATTTATTATACACTTGCACAAAATTTTGATATTTCTCTAATAATTGTCAAAACATAAATATTAAACTTGTATTATTATAAGCTAGGTTAATTTGGGACATACGAAAACTTTTCGTTGAAAACTGTTTTTTTTTCATTAATAGTTCCGATTCATTTATTTTTAGGTATTACCCAATTTCACATATTTATTATATAAGTTCAATAGTTCGCGCATGGAAAGAGATAATAACTTTGGAAACTAATGCAGCATACATACAATCATTTCCTATACAAATAGAAATGAACGTAAGATTCTAGAATTTATGTTTAGAATCGATATCGATTCTAAAATTATAATTGTCCAATTCACTTTTCATAACAAACAGTTACCTGATGATTTAGATTTCGAGGTTAAATTAAATTACTTATTTTCAATATATAAATTTTCATATTTATCACTAAAATTCCGATCACAACGTTATTTACATACAAAATCTCGAAAGCAATATAATTGTGGTATTAAAACCAAAACTTCTTAGCAAAATAATCATAACTTGCAAAGACAACACTGAGCATTAAATTATTCATGCTAAAATGGTGAATCATTTTGGTGTAAACTATTTCATTAAGTTTTATAACAGTAATTTGACATTTATCGCCAGACGATAAGACTAATTCCACAGAATTCAGATGACGTAATAAAAAAAAACGTGTTCAGTCAAATTTTATGGAAAAATTACGTATACTGTAATGTTTATTACCTTATAGTTTATATTCCGAAATGTTGTGAAACTTTATTGAGAGAAAGAACGATTACTAAGTGTAATTTATTTCATATTATTCTATCACTACGCACCTACTAATATTTTGATAATTACGTAACTACTTACATTAATTTTGCATTATTCCACGACACTAATAAATTAGTTTTTTTTTTAATAAATAAATTGTTGGGAGTATAAAATTGTAATAAAAAACGTTCAAAGAAGTAATCTAAAATATGTAATAATCACAAATAGAGCGCGCAGCACGAACTGATATTAACATTTTCAGCGAGATAAAAGCAATATATAAAAAACGAGGATTACAAGAAAAAAAATTGATATCGGAGTGTAATATCTATAATAAATATTACACCTTAAAACATAAACAATATTGATAGCTGATAATATATAAATACTATATAAATCACTAATCGAATTTTCATAATACAATTATCAATTATAATTCGATGATCGTGTAATTCATATATATACGTTAATTTTTAGATTTATGTCTCAATGAAATGAGAAGTTTAATAGATTCGATATTTTGGATTGTTCAATGTGAGTAAATGCGTATTTTTTTCCTATTTGTATTTGATTCAGTGATAATTTGTTTAATTTATCTTACCGATGCTAATAAAATTATTAAAATTATTGTCAATGATAATAAATTTTAAATTTACATATACCTGTTTTTATTTCACAGCACACTTGAAACTACAGTGTAACTTCAGTGGCACACTTAAATTAATTTTGATGAGTGATTTGGTACTTTATAAAAATAATTTGATTATGAATGATCTTTAATTTTTTTCGCGGTACATCGATTGGAAATCATTGGTCTAGAGCAGTGTTTCTCAAACTTTTTGGTATTAAAAAAATTTGAAGGACCTCCGAAGAATAGGTATGTGTAGAAAAACGTAAGAAAACATATCGTCCGGTCTGTCATCAATTTTTCTGCGACCCCCACTTTAAGAATCAATGGTCAAGAGTCTAAAGCAGTCTTGAATTAAAGATCATTAATTATATTATTTTCGATATAAATCCAATCATACTACGTGTTTATATGAAAACATCATTTTAATTTAAATAATCCACAAAAGTTTAATTGTTGGTTTAAGTGTATTGCGAGTTAAAAAGGTTGAAAAATACTGGAGCATTATAAAGTTTCAATTTGATCAAGTTTATTCTTAATGTGACTTATGTACTATAAAGTTTCAATTTGTACTTGTTTAAGTTTATGGTTGCAATAAGGTAAATCAAGTTTAATGATGTGTTATTTCGTGTGAAATGGTGTAGAATTGAGCACGCCCTGTAGATGGAAATGCGCTCGGAAATAAAGAAAGCCAGCATTTCAACTAATCATCATCGTCCACCCTCGGTTCCTGCCTTATTGAAAATTGGTTGTATTTATATTATGGGCAGTCCATTGTTTACCTATTTGGAGATTAATAATTGGATCACAAGGTCCGAGGGTGGAACGAACCTTAATATGTGTATGTGTGTTTATAGATATATATATATATATAATATTTATCATTTCGGGTAAGGTTGAGTCCGGCGATACCGTTTCGCTTAATTAAATGACCCCCACCCCGCCCGCCTTTATGGAGCCATAATAGAGCAGCGTGGGGCCCCCGATTGAAATAAAGAACGTCTTTTATGTATTCCTCCATGCGATGAGGAAACGGGACGCCCGCCGATGGGCGCGGCCGGGGTAATTCCGCATGCTGGCCCACATACGCGAAAAGGAAAAGAGAAGGCCGCGCTTTACGCCCATCCGCGGAAGGGTGGTTGGGCGCCTACGAAGCGCACCCTTAAATGTCATCGCTATATAAATGAATCGGTGACACGAGCCATTAACTCGAGGCGTCGAGCTGCGGACGGAACTAAATAAGACTGGCAACAAAAAAAAAATAAATAAATGAATAGATGAGAAATTGTATTAAAAGGGGGCGGCATGGACCGGCCCCGGCCGAGACCCAATTATTCGCAGTCTTCCAATTCCATCGCAAGACGCACGCACACGTGGCGAAATGGCATCGCATCGGAATTACAATCATCATTAGCGCCACACCAGTTTCCGCAAATCACGCTCATTATGAAGAGGGAATATACAGGTAATGCATCCCAATTTAATACTATAGCAGATAATACATATCACAACCCACGTATCACAAATATTTGAAACTACAATTCAAACTCAAAAATCTATTTATAAAACCTTTAATCCAAACATAAAAACACCATCGGTACAAGTACACTACCTCGCGGAACTGTATCTCCAGTATGAGCCACAATTGATTTATTTAACTTACCAATTAATACGTTAATTGACTACAAAAATAACACTTTCAGTTACAACATATTTTAAAGTAATCGTATAAGATTTATTTGGTTTTATGATAAATGTGCAATTATCATAAAAAGCACACGTTCCAACCGTTCTTATCGTCAACCGTCACAATTTCATTAACGTCATTCTTAAACATTTCCATTCGTATATTTTCGTACATAACGTAAATAAATAATATAATTGCAAAATAATCAAAGACAAATTTAGATGGTGCACGAAAATCCAAGCAATATCCAATTTATAACTACCTCTTGTGTGTATTTTTTTTTAATTCACCCTATATTCCAGTTTCCGTGGTAACGACGCGTCCTTTAAATGTCAAACAAACAAATTTCTCTACGCCCCAGTTACCATGGATGTATTGTTATATCAAGTTTCGCAGCACATCTATCCAACCCTTATTATTCGCGATTGGGACAAGAATAAAAAAAAAATAGCGGAACAACAACGAACGCGGTTTGCGGCAAAGGCAAACGCCAATAACGAAAGTAAAAAGCGGTGACTTATGAATGTTCATCCATTGGAATATGCGGAAAACAAAATTACAAATAAACAATCGAGAAAGCTATAACTTTCCTCTTTTTTATAAAAGAATAACGATAACCAATGGTCATACTATTAGTCATTGCTTTCAGTCGATCGGTATTACAATTGAATGAAACAATAATATTATATCAATGCTGTTTGTTTGAGGAATCAGCGGTATTTGCTGCCGATAATAAAAATAGAGTTGTTTATCAATGTTTTGTTTTGCGCGAGTTTCAATGGAAACCGCAAACTAATATTTATGTCAATGCATTTCGAAAACATATATTAAGTGAAAACTTACCTGAATCAAAACATTTCAATGTCGATTTGAGTTAAGGTGTTTAAAATCAAATGAATCGATGCTAATTGAAACACACATAAAATGAGTATCTTCGTCAACCATGTGTAAATTGAAAAGAATGCGCTGTTAAATTGATTGCATTGTTTTAAATTGTCGCTAAATGGAATTGACGTAGTTTGATAAAGTATGAATTTGTCATTAAATAATTGTAATCTTTGGGCGGAAGTTTACAATTTACTGAACCCTTTATTTAAGCTATATAATTATTAAATATTAAACAATATTTTTCATTTAACAGTTTGATGCAATTTTTTCATCATAATTAATATATATTATTATAATTAATATCACTAAAAATATTCTACAATAATAATTTTGGAATAAAATACAAACCAAATGTAGCGCGAAATTTCTTAGTTGGTAACATAGGCAACTTAATTTACACCATGCATTTGTTTTGACGACTTCAAGGCGTGTAGACTTTTTATTAATGCTCTTAATACTTGCTAAAGTAAACATTTATTTAAGGTAATCTAGTTTAAGTATATCATAAATTCATAATCAAATTATGAATTGTTTATAAAATACATAAAAGACAGTGCCAATTTGAAAACCTTGAATTTGGCTTACCAAGGTGTTGCAATTTAAAATATGAACTTTGGTGGCTTCTGTTTCTCCTAAAAATAGATGTTTGGCTGCTAATGCATCAATGTTTACATTGACATGATAGCAAACAAATTGATGACATACTCAAGTAAAGGATGTAATGAAAAGTTTAAAAATATCCCAACAACGATAACAACAAGTAATGTGTTTACATGGTACATGGATGCGTCAAAGGTACATTCTACTCACTGTTACTCAGATCTTCGTAACCATTTCGGAGTAATTTCATGTCACGTGGAACGTTGTTATCACGAAGCGAAACGACAAATAGAGGTTAAATCGATCGAAATTCCGGAGGCGAAGTGGCGTTAACAGATTATATATAGATATTTACAATATTTGGTCTTCACCTTGCTGCAAAGCGATGATCTCAGGACATACTCTCTTTTCCTGTCCGTCCGGTGACACATACAAACACTACTCACACGGTGCGCACCAGGTTGTCAAAAATCTCCAGAGGTGCCCACCCCGCAAAATAAAAGAAACATCGATGTTTGGTTGCATAAGCAATCATTTAATTAATACTTCCTTATCAATATACAATTCGAGCAAACTTCGCACTCAATCAGACAATCAGAATCCATAACATCCTCCTTATTAATCACAAACGTTTCACCGCATCGGCAAATCTGGTGCGCTTTCGAGCTATCGTCGAAAGTTAGGTTAGTCGAACTTATTTCCATGTGGATGACCTGCTGCTCCATATATTGGTCCTGTTTCAAGGATGCATCGTACTCCTTTCTCGACGTCTCATCTCTCAAAGTCTTCCATGCCCTGTCGATATCTAAGAAATTCGCATCACAGTCAGACTTCTTATCTGGATGAGCATGTCTCACCAATCTCCTGTAGCTTTCTTTCAGTTCACTGTACGAAGAAGTCTCTGAGCAGCCAAGTATCTCGTAGTAATTAGACGACATTTCTTCTGCAAATGATTACATTTGTATGCTTAAGTACACATCACTAATTACATACTGACATTCGTTTGTCATCTTAACGTAAACAAAGATAAGATAAAGAAAAATAGTTGGCATCACTGAGTATTCAACACACATTGCGCTTTAATTACTATTTTTAGCACAACTCATCCTAGAACAATAAATATTGATCCAAACATTATATAGAATAATATATCAGTTTGCAACATATTTTTGATGCACATGATGTCATTACTATAAATAAAATATTGCAGAATCTAGTGAAAAGGAATATTTTAAGAATTTAATTCCTGAATAAATAAACAATTAACTAACAAATTTACAAAAATATAGTTTACTAACAGATATACACAAATTCCAATTATTTCTTGCATTCTATATAAATAAAGACGTTATTAGTTTAATTCAGTGGAATGCAAATGCAATACAGATCTTTTGTGTATTAAATGAGATAAACAAATCATTATGCAATGTTGTCACGTTTATAATAAATTCAAGTTTATAATAAGTGACTTTACACGTATATGCGTATTAAAGTAGTTCATACATATATAGATTTAACTATGATGATAATATAATTACAGAATATAGATTTATGAAAAAAATTGTTAATAATATAAAATAATTCACAAAGGGCGGAGGGACCTCGGTCGATAGTCCTTTGGTCATAATTATATTAAATAAATAATTTAAAAAAATATGTAATTCCCTATTTCTATATTGCTCATTGAAGATAACAAAATATTATTTTGTATATATTGTTAGTACAATATCAAGAGTGCATTTTTATATTTATATTATCAGTAAATAATATTTTCGTTTAACGATCCTTCAAATGCATTTATCAGCTGACAATGCTGCATAGTGATAACATATAAATTGGTTCCTCGTAGGAATAGAAGCAATGGTACTATTGTCGAGTGAAGATGTTGGTTTCCGTTAAAGCTATCCTTCTGCTGTTGCCGATTCTGGCTGCTGCGAAAACACCGTTCGTTATAAATACCTGGCATTTCAAGGAAGCCGCTCAAGAAGGTAAAATAATTGATGAATGAAGAATTATAATTATTATTTTAAATATACACAATTAAGTATTTGTCGATAATTTATGAATTTGTTTGTGTTGCAGCTTGGGATTTTGTGAGCAAAGGTCACGACGCGGTGGACTCTTTGGAGGCGGGATGTTCGAAGTGCGAGAGCTTGCAGTGCGATGGAACCGTGGGCTTCGGTGGTAGTCCGGATGAGAACGGAGAAACCACTTTGGACGCACTTATATTTGATGGGTATATTTTGTTTACTATTGAATTACAATCTGTTATTCTAAATCTTGCCATTGTTTCAGGACTACAATGGATATGGGAGCAGTCGGCGCTCTGAGGAACGTCAAGCAGGCTATATCTGTTGCTAAGCATGTACTCAGGAACACAAAACATTCGTTGTTGGTTGGTAGCCAGGCAACGAAATTTGCCAAAAAGATGGGATTCAAAATTGAATCTCTATCCACTAACAAATCGCAGGCGATGTGGGATGATTGGAAATCGAATAATTGCCAACCGAACCATTGGAAGGTTTCTTTTGTTTTACTAAATTCGATAATAAAAGATGGTTACGAAACATTTATTTTAAGAATGTAGATCCGAATCCAAATGAAAGTTGTGGACCCTACACGCCAGAATCAGAAAACAGCATCAACAGTTTCAACGTCTTCAGCAAACATCGCCTAGGAATATCCAAGAAAAATCACGATACCATTGGAATGATTGTTATTGATGAGGATGGTAACGTCGCTGCTGGTACTTCGACGAACGGTTTGAAGTACAAGGTCCCTGGGTAATCATCAAGATTTAGTCGATGTTAAGCATAAAGTTAACATCGTTTTATTTTAGACGTGTCGGTGATTCGCCGATACCCGGAGCTGGAGCTTACGCAGATAACACCGCCGGAGCAGCTGCGGCAACAGGAGATGGTGACATCATGATGAGGTTTCTACCCAGTTTCCTCGCCGTGGAACTCTTGAAAATTGGAAAGTCTCCGACCGAAGCAGCTCAAATTGCCATCAAGAGGATCGTTGATAAGTATCCAAGCTTTTTTGGTGCTGTAATAGTCTCGGACAAGGATGGTAACTACGGAGCAGCTTGCAACGGAATGCCCGAATTCATCTTCTCCATAGCCAATCCGGAAACAGAAGGAGCTAAACTCGAAAGCGTCTTATGCGGTTCAGGAAACAATTGAACTTTGAAATTTGTATTGTTTATAAATAATTTTATAATTAAATAGAGATAAGATTCGTTAATCTTATATGCAAATAAAAAATATACGATATTAGATTATTTTATTTATTTAAAATTGTAAGGAATTCATTTAGTTACATATCTATTGGCAATGCCACTGGTCCAGTGTTTCAGTAATAGTTAAGTACAGCATTAACGCCCACTTCACTTTAACTGTCAGCTTATTAATTGCAGGTTGAAGTGTTGGGCTTAAATCAATTAGCTAAATCCATCCTGCCGTGTTTCCGTTCTCGCTATCCTCCAGCAGTCTGATGGCATTCTCACCTTCCACCTCGTTTCCATTTAATTCATTGTGTACGATAACGCGCGGCGTTAGATGCTGATCATTCTCTGCGCAAATAATAATTAATTTTTGTAATCTAATTCCAAGTTTACTTCTAACCACTTCCTATCAACCCCAGAAGGTTATCCCCGGTGACATCTGGTAACTTGATATTCGGGGTATCTATGGGCTCCTCCTCCGATTCGGCAATCCTCTTAGCTTCATTCATAGCCTGCTGCAGGTTCCGTTGCTTCTTCGAATCCTGTTTACTGTTGCAGCGTCCGATCTGCGAACTGGTTTCCGTTTCCGGTTAAAAAACAAAATCGCCAACGCCACTCCTACTTACGCTACATAAGCATCTTTCACAACGTGCTTCCACTTATTCAAGTTGGAATTAATTAAAGCTAACTTTGCAACTCGCCTAAATCTGCGGAAGGAAGCGACTTATGAATAAAACAAGCTTGAATCCAAAAAACACACGGCGTGTTATACCTCGTCAAGGAGTCTTCGTTGCCGCTCAGAGTACCGCCGTCTTCGCTGACTATACGCTCTTTAGTATTCACAGGGACAACTTTGAAATCTTTCATTAGTCTTCTCTCCCAGATCTTCATCTTTTTACCAGCAATAACTGCAATAAAATACATTTAAAAAAGATCTTTTTTTTTAAATAAATTCGAACCTTTCTCTTTCTTCTCAGCAGAAGATACATCCATTCCGTTTCTGTTGAGAATCTCGAGCATTTCGTAGCGGAACGCCGAGATGTCGTTCTTCACCTCATTAATATCATCTTCGGTGACGGCGTTTTCTTCGCATTTCCTATGCATCGATGTCACGTATCGCCACACCAACGCTCTCATCACCAAAGTATATCTATAGTCGCGATCCTTTTCTTGCTTTTGGCTCTAAAGTTTAAAACATAATCATAGGATTATTTATAAATTTAATAAACCTACTCTTTGAGATTTCCTCATTTTGCTCCTTTGATGTAATCCGCATAACTTCAAGAAGAATTTGGGAGTAGGAAGGATATTGAACGGAGGTGGAAGCGTTTGTGTTTGATCGAAATAATTCATCAGGAGCTTCGTCCTCGCAAACTTCCATTCCGTGTCCGAGTGGCACTAAATTTCAAATTGTGTGTGAATTTATAAAAACTCAAATTAATCATGTCTTACGTCAATGATAGCATACGAATTGGACATCATTGCAATTAGTAGATTCAATAAAACTATTATGTTGATTACTGAATAAGAACCGAACATAAGGAGACCCCAGAATCTAGTGTAACTTTTGATCCCAGTTAACTCAAAATTCTCAATATCGATCATACCGAAACTTGCCCAAAAGAGTGACTGGGATGTTTCAAATACGCTGTAAAAAAAATCGTATAGTTTAAATCGTTGTTAAAATGAAGAAATACTTTGCAAATCTTCTCCATTTGGAACAGGCCTCTGCGTTTTTCTCCAAGTCGGGTTGAGTACCACCGTTATAGCACTTCTTATGCTCCAAATCGGAGAAATACCAAAGCAGTTGATTCAAACCTATAAAATAAACAGATTTATTGAGGATAATGGAAATGTATAAAAAGTTTACATACCGCAAGCAAATGAGAACAAGACTAAAGTATAGATGAAGAAGAATTTAACGATGTCGATAATCATTCTGCCCAGCGAAATCTGCAGCGGTCCCAAATGCGGATTTATGGAGAACAAATGCACCAATTTGAGGGCGCTGCAAATCACGGAAACGTGGGGATAACTCTTTGTTTTATTAATGTCCGCTTCGTTATTTACTCTTTTATTTGACGTCGTTTCTGATTTATTACCTGAGGATGTTCGCAGCTGCAAATAATCCTTCGGCGATCAACTGTAAATCATAATCATGCCAATCCTCGCGTCGGATGTACGCCATCTGAGGATCGCGAGAAATCTCTTCTCTTTGCTGAACGTACGCAACAACACGTAGCGCAAACACCAGGAAGTAAAGGATATTTCTCCCACAATCTATAACGTTCCACAGATTCCTATGATACGCGCGGATACCTTTGACGTAGATTTCGTTGATTTCCTCGCAGATGAAGCCTAAATAAGAGTTTCAATCAATGAATAATTTGGTAGAAAAAAAAAATACCAAGCACGAAGATGATCAGGATGTATTCAAGTATGCTGGGCGGGTTTCCGCGCTGTGGCCGGAATTCTTCTGGTTGTTTTAATTTGAAATATTCCAGCATATGTTCTTCAGCTCTTTGCGACACTAATATAAGAACAACTGCAAAAAAAAGTAACATATTTTCAGAAGTCAAAAAGTTGATAAGTTGACTCACATAGAAAGAATAGGTAAGACGAGGCGTGAATTAGGAACTTCATGAACGGTTTCCTCATCATCCTACCACTGGCAGTTCTTGGAGCAACGATGTACATGAGGCAGTAATAAGGAAACAGTAAAGCAACTTTGCAGATGATCAAGATTCGAGCCAAAGTTGATCTTCTCCGAAAACCTGGAAGACCTTCATACCAGATTGCCGTTACCAGTTGTTGAATATTCGAATGAGCGACAAACTAAATAGAAAACAATAAATTGACAAATTAATTAATTAAATAATAACCAAATCAAACCTTCTTTTGCTTAAACTCGATGGCCAATTTAAGCCTCGTAAGTTGCATCTCATCTCCATCTTTTTGATTCAAATCATACGGATCGTGATTCAGAATGATTGCCAATTCGCTCGAACTACGAGATTGTTGCAGTAAATCGACGGCGAACTGCTGACACTGCATTCGGAGTTCCATGTACTCCGATTTGCATTCCTTAAAACAGAATTTAATAATTAACACTTCATAACATATCGATTACTCACTGGTTCGGCAAAGGCAAGATTTTTCAGTTCCCAAGAAAGTTGAAAGGACGTGAGGATCGGATCTGTCGAGGATAGGGCGATCAGAGATGGACTGGCTAAAGCCTTGTACTCGTTCATCCTCGAAAGCGAATGCCTCAACGAATCCTCTTTAGTATTTTTAATGCAATCGTCGCATCCACACCTAAATTTCTTAAACATGAACAATGCTTTTTTTAATGATAATCAAAAAATAACTCACTTTATATCGTGGGGCATGGGAAGATTCGCTCCTCTATCCAAGAGAATCTTCAGGATCTCGTAATTATTTCTATGAGCAGCAAGAACCAAAGGCGTTATATCCGGCGTAAAAGTCGCTATGTTTACATCAACTTTTTGCCAACTCTAAAAAAAATCAAAACACCACAATTAACTTCATTCAGTCTAAATTTGGAGTGAATCCTTACGTAAGGCTCGTTTTCTTCGTGGATGATCTCCTCGTGCTCCAAGAGCAGTTCCACAGCTTCTACGAATTCCACGTTAATGGCATGAAGGAGAGCATCTTTGGTCTCTATGCCCATGATGACCAAAAGCTCTACCATTTCAAGATTTTCACCGTCGATTGCCAAGGTCAGAGCCGTCCTTCCTAAGCTGTCCATGCAGTTTACGTTAAAGACGTTGTACCTCTGAGCTAACTGCAACATCCTGCTCCCAATTTATTATTAATTTCAATAAAAATAAAACTTCAACACGATTCTTGGAAATACCTCTTAACATTAGCTAAATCTCCACGTTCCACAGCCAAAAGATATTTCTTTTCTTCCAGCGATAAAGATTTTGGCAGAATCGGCATTTTGCATTGATTATTCGTAGAGATCACGTCTACCTAACAAAAAAAAATAGTTATTTCAATTAATTTCAATTAATATTAAGTTTCATTAATTTAAGTTTAATTACCTTAACGTAACTTACCAAAAGACAAATCAAATCAATTAAGTTTACTTAGGTTATTAAGGTTATTTATTACTAATCGCAGAAGAAATTTTTAAAAGGAAATAAAAATATCAAGAAATAAAACTTAATCTGATTATGATGAAAATCAATGACCTAAAAAAATCTGGTTTCACATTGCTTAGGTAATTCTACTTAATTGCGTGAAGCCAATACGATGCAGAAAAGATTCTAAACTCATTGATTTAAAGGAGAATATCAAATGTGATTAGGAATATCTTCAAGTTTCATCCTTTTTCTTACGTTATATTTACGATTAAATTCAATACATTTATTAAAATAAGAAATTACTTACTTTTTTTTTGAATAATTTAAAGAAACCTAATTGTTGTTATTTATTGTTCTTTTCTTAGCGAATGTTAAATACGCATTTCACTTATATTTTTGTACCTCCCATTTACTTATTCGACCCTTGGGGCATTATGCATGAGACATTCGAGCAAAGTCGTGCAATTTACATTCCGTTTGTCTCTCAACTTCAAATTAAGTTAAATCCGAATAAAAATGAGAATAACCGTATTCCCATCGCGTTATTATTATTATTTGCAATTGGTCTCCGAGAACTTTTTCTCACTAACTACATTTTTGTACGAATACGTAAACAGAAGAATTCATATTCAACATAACATTATAAATGCTACTTGCACTACTTGCCAAGAAAATTGTAATTATACAAGGTACTTTTTAATATTAATTTAATAAGTTACTCGACAATTGTCGCGTAACTTCGATGTTGAATCTATATAAAATTGAACTACATAATACTTGACAAGTAAATTGCATTAATTTAAGTATTTGGATAAGTTTTGTAAGTAATTTCAATAAATTAATTGACAATTATCGCGTATCGTCAGTATTAAATCAATATAAAATGAAGAAATTGATACTTGCCAAGTACATTTCATTAATTTAAGTTGTTAATTATTTCTTAAAAATGAACTAAATGAGTTTCTTAGAATTTATTGTGTAGCGTTAATGTTAAATTTGTATAAATTAAAACTAAATGATACGTGACAAGTAAATTACTTTAATTTAAGAGTTACTTGGAAAATGTTGTGTAGAATTAAACTAAATGATACTTGACAAGTAAAGTGAGAATTATTGCGTAGGGTCAGTATTGAATTGATATAAAAGTGAAGAAATTCATACTTGTCGAGTAAATTGTATTAATTTAAGTGGTTAACTAAATCTTAATAATTTACTTGGAAAATTTTGTGTAGCGTTAATTTTAAATCTGTATAACATTGAACTAAATGATACTTGAAAGTAAATTGAATTAACTTAGCTGATTGAATAAGTCTTGTAAACAATCTCAAGAATTATTGAGTATCGTCAGTATTAAATTAATATAAAATTGAAAAAAACCGATAATTGCTAAGTAAATTACATTAATTTAAGTGGTTGATTAAATCTTAAAAATGAACTTAAGAAATTACTTGGAAATTATTGTGTAGAATTAATGATAAATATGTATAAAAATGAATTAAATGATAATTGACAAATAAATTTCATTAATTTAAGTTATTGAATAAGTCTTGCAAATAATCTTAACATGTTAATCGGAAATTATAGAGTAATGTCAATATTGAATCTATATAAAATTAAACTAAAGCTTTATATGGAAATGATATGGATATTTTGAACATGGACCACTTGAAACAGTTGAAAGAAGATATCAATGATTGTTACAAAGATTTAGACATCTGCATTTTCTTGTCTTGGATTATAAAATCATTTGAAAGCTACAGATATTGATTTCTTCTATTGATTAAAGGAGAATTTTGAATCTAAAATTAATTTTCAAACATGAGTATATAAGTACAGGTAAACGTCGTTTTGCGCCGCTGCGAAATAACGCTTATTAATTGCTGATTTTACACTTATATAGAACTAAACCCTATAGTTACCTCACTGAAAATAATGGTTCATTTTACGCCGATTCGATTTGCGATACGATTCGATACCTGCGTACATAAGTCAAAGGAAGTTGTAAAAATGTTTAACAAAAAAAAAGTTATGTTTCTGAATCGCCGAAACCAAAAGCAAATTGATTTTTGTGCATTACAATATACAAAAAGATGTAGAAAAAAAGGTTGGGAACTCCTAAACTAAACAATACTTTCCACGTAAATTATATTAATGTATTATAGTTGAATAAATCTTGCAAATGAAATCAATTAGCAATTATAGCGACAATATTGAATTTATTTATTCTCAATTGAAAGATGATCGTGAAAATGAGGTATTTTCATTTTTAATAATTAAATGATGATTGTTTTTTTTTTCGTGTGTGTGCCCGTTAAAGTGTGTATTTCTTCCAGTATTTGAAAATTTAATTAACTATTTGCGATGGGCGTTGTTATTACGAGCATTTCATTAATATTTAAATGCGCTGCAGCTTTATTCCATTGAGACCGAGACAATGCAAGCTTTTAATTTATATGAAATTATTATTGTGATGATGAAACGAAGCCGAGAAGATTGAAACTTACTTTGACATGGAGCGAATCGTTGTCGACGTCGTCCATCGCTAAAGGATCGGACACCTGCGAACCAAAGGACAAACAGTGTAAAGATGAAACCAAACCCACAAAAATATTGCTTAGGAAAAAAAAAGAATAATAATCTCGTAGCCGAAATTTGGAAGGAATGATGACGACGGACAAAATCTAATTATCAAATTGGATTTGTTCGTGGTTTTCGCGGTTTCGAGGATCACCACGATGATGGTGTTTTTGTATGTGTGTGAGCATTCGCGGATGAGACAAAAACGCGTATGCGAAACGGCTTTCCTGTTAATTGAGATAACGGCAATCATCGTTAATTATACGACAATTTCATTTATTACTACTATATTGGTAGTGGAAGGACGGTCGGATAGGTTTTCAAAAATCGATGGACAACGCATGTATGTCCATGTGTGTGAGTTCCGTCTATAGGTGACACCTTAATTAATTGGATTAGGTTCGTCTGGACAACGCACGTAATTCGCGATATTCCTATTACCATTCCTCTCTAATTACCAAACATTTAAATGCATTTTTTTTATCCACATTCATCTCTTGGGGTTTCTATCGTAATGTTATTGTGTAACAATAAATTTTACTATATTTCCATTCTTAATTATTTAAAAGAACATTGCAAAAGGCTTCCGCACATATCCCAATTATTATTGTATCTCTGAGCACCAAGAATTAGGGCCAAAATATATAATTATTAAACATTTAAATCCATATTTAGTTTCTTTAATTATGATAACTATTTGAACTTAGTGTAAATTAACAATAATTAAAATACTATGTTGTAATTTAGTAAGTTTCTTTTATTATTTTTGTTATCTTTAATATGCAGTGGAACGTCTTTAACGCAAAATAAATACATTTAAGAATTTTTCATACATTTTTGACTTGTTTAAATATTTTAATGCATATGTGTTTAGGAAAACGCGCCTTGTCTACGTCACGATGAATCATCTGTTGCAGCGAATCAATTGCATACATGGAACTACTTAGTCTCTTAGACTGTTTCAAATTTATTTTAAATCATTAATAAATCTTTTTTTTTAAATATTACTAACAATAATAACTGAAATAATAAAAATTTGAAAGATCAAAGTACTTTATTTTCTTTATTCAATCATTAATTAATTGAATAAAGAAAGTAAAGTACTTTGATAAAATAAAATATTTTAAAACATGAAGCGAAACATGAAACAAATTAGTATGGAGAAGCTTTGTTATAAACAAAACCCTAGAGGATGACAGGTTACTTTGGTTAATGTTAATTAACAATGAGTAGCAAAAAGTATATTTATATGTCACAGTCTAGCCTAGCAATCTTAAAGTCATAGTCTTCAAACTCTGTGCCAAGAATCTGCGTAACCTTGAGACGTGCGAACAACACAAAGAGATTTTTTTATTTGTAAATATATAATGTTCTCTGTCATCTATTATAAATAATGGAGTCGCGGTAGAATTACAAACAAAAATTATCGTTTTGGCGGCAAAAAGGTTGAGAAATACTGCTTTTGATTGAGTTATTTTATTAATATTTGAAATATTTTTGGGAATTTGCCATAGAGTTATGATTGTTGATCTTAAATTAAAGTAAGTTTTTTTTTTTGAAAAATGGTTGTCATTAGGTTATTGATAATGGAATGATGTGATGTGGCGGTCTTCACATGAAAATCCCTTGACCAATATACTTTAATCGAATACCCCGCTTCGGGCGGCGGTGAAGTAGGACAGCAGGGGATTCGCGGCACCGCTTCTATCTATATAAGGTTGCTTTGTGTGCATGCTAATTAGATTACAGTAAATCATTCTGATGGGATTACGTGCGTTCCGAGCCACACACGGCGACAACAGTTCGCGAAGAGATGTTACTACCCATCTATCTGGGACATATAACAAAAACAAAAAATCATAGCAACATTAACGGTAATCATTTGTTGGTTACTAGGCGACCGAAAGCACGCGAAGGATTTCCTTGGCGACTATGAAGTCGGGAGAATCGCAGCAGAATCTGATCGCGTCGGAGACCATGAACGAGCCAACAACTCCGATGGCCAACTTCGACATCAATGATTTGACGGAGAAACCGCTCGGGCCCATCGAGAAGACGTATCTACTACACGCGGAAAGAGGCGACTGTGCAACGGTCAAAAGGTATACGAATAGTAGCATCAACAATAAGCTTTGACACATGTCAACGACAATGTCAGAGTCCTTAAATGAAGTTTACTTTGAATCAACAATATATCAAAACAAATTTTGACATCTGTCATCTGAAAATTATTGCTAATCAGAAGACAATTAAAATTTCCTAAAAACAATTAAAATTTGTATTTATTTTAAAACACATTAACATTAAGTTGTTTATAAATTGTTATAGAATTTCAACAATAATTTCAACAATGAAAAAAATATATGGTACTTTTGCTAAAGTAAGTCAATTTTAAACTTAAATCGTATAATAAGTGAATTATAGTGATTTAGATTTCAAAAACGAATCAATTTTCATATGTATATTTAGTAACAATATTATTTTATAAACATACTTCATAATATTCAATTATACAATTTTTCTTTTTGTTACAATATACAAAATAACCTATACAGAAGTAGTAAGTATTACTTGAATGTAGGATTATAGTCAATTGGTGTTTTCAATTGTAAAACAAATCATTTTGTATACAATATAAAGATTATATTAAAGTACCAACAAATATTTAAGTCTGTTTCACAATGTCTGTTTACCATTTAAATAGTGACATAAATATGCCGATGCTTATAAGTACCATCAAACGACAAAGGGTTAAATAGAAAACAATCAAACCTCATTAACATTTAAAGTTGCAAATATGTGATAGATACATTGTTTTTTAAGATGAAATCAACTTTGACATAACAAAATGCATGGTTATTTTCAGATTGATCAGACAATATGCTAACAATCCTGAAGAGCTGGACATAAATTGCGTGGATCCTTTGAACAGATCCGCGCTGACGGCGGCAATCGAGAATGAGAATATGGAGCTGATCAAATTGCTCGTCGATGAAAAAATTCAAGTCAAGGTAAATGTTTGATGATGTTTTCTGTGCGAAATTAATATTGATCATCAAATGTAGGATGCGCTGCTTCAAGCTATCAAAGAGGAGTACATTGAAGCCGTCGAGTTTTTGCTTCAATACGAAGAGGAACATCATGTTGTTGGACAACCTTACGTAAGTTTCTCATTTGTTTACATTAAAAAAAAAATTGATGTTAATTGACAATTTAAAAGGTATTGAAATTATTAAGTGATGAATCGTAAAATTTCTTTTATAAAATAAATTATAAGCGTTCAATGGAAAAGCGCCGAATAAAATAGTTTGAAGGATGTGGAGATCCAAGATTACGTACTTTCCGACGATGCCACAAGTTCGTGGTAACAGCGCTTTCGAGCGGATTAACTTTAGTTCGGTATTTCGGATAAATTTTATTCTGAATAAATTAATTTCGCAATAAAAAAAGGACACTTCGTCTCTTAATTTTTTTATTTATAATCATATGAAACAATCACTCATATCAATGTTTTAAATTTATAGAGTTGGGAGTCCGTAGACAGAGCATCTTCGACCTTCACCTCTGATATAACACCATTGATTCTTGCATCGCATAAAAACAATTACGAAATTATTAAAATTCTACTGGACAGAGGTGCATCGCTACCCATGCCGCATGATGTCAAGTGAGTTCGTTGCAAAGGTTGATATTAAAAAATATTTCACGTTAATAAATTTCTTGCCATCAAAAAAAAAACTCCTTATTAACCTGAAATACTTTCATCATAATACTCAATGGAATTAAAGTTTACCGTTCTGGTGCAGATCATCAATACATAGTTTGTTTATTATACAAAATTTATTGTACATTAAAATACAAAGGACCGTATATAATTAAATTTAACATAATTTAATTTGTTATGTTCAAACGCATCACGTACGTAATATTAAAACATAAATCGCACACAACAATCAATTAATTCATGGAAATTCTCGATGCACGAAACCAAGCAAAATCTATACTATATAGACTTGTATATTGTTTCTATGCAATTTATATCTCCTTTCCAGAAATCTAAGCAATACCCACTCATATTTTACAATAAATTATTTGTCTTTCCTTTACAAAAATAACGAAAAATTTCCTAACGGGATAAACGTTTACTAAATGCACAGAAGGTGTTTAAAAGCCAATTAGTAAGGAAGCCTCTTAACAAATACACGAATGCTACTGCTGTTTCGTAACTGATCTGATTATTTCGATGCGATCAGGATTGTGGAATCTGAGGCATCAACACTAAGTCGATTTTACGTGATTGTAGCTCGTTAATTCTACGATTTATCTATTTTTAAGAAAACATGCAGTAAAATTTAGGTAAATCTAGTTGCTGAGCCAATTTTAACTACTCGTTATCTATAATTTAATTTTATTGACTTTTCAATAAAATTAACTTAAATTTTGCATTGAAGTTTAAAAACATTTTAGATTACAATTTATATTTCAATAAAACAAACAATAAAATGTGGGAAAATTGAAATAATTTACGTTGCCATGACAATTTTATTAATTTAATCTAAAACTATTGATTTGAAACCAGACTTGTCTCTTTGATGATATTTTAATAATATTTATATTGCAATATGGACTTTAAAGTAATTTAAAATATTCCATTTTCAATAAAATAAAATGTTACTAGACTAAAAGCTGTTTATTCGAATTTTGTGTTTTGATGTTAAAAGTTTTCTTGATAGTAATCATTCATCTTGCACATCATTTACTCATCTCAAGGATATTCTATTTCCGAATGGAATTGAATACAGAAGCATCTTTCGTATGGAATTATAAAATTGCTTCAAGAAGATTTATTTGTATGTTGGAATTGAACCAAACGTTAATTGAATGTTTCTTGAAGATGCGGTTGCGATGAGTGCGTCGAGTCGAATTCGTTGGACTCTTTGCGACATTCGAGGGCAAGGATCAACGCTTACCGTGCTCTGTCAGCATCCTCCTTAATAGCGCTCTCCTCCAAAGATCCCGTACTGACGGCCTTTGAGTTGTCGTGGGAGCTGCGGAAACTGAGCCGCATGGAAACGGAATTCAGAGCCGATTACAACGTGAGAGACAAACGCAAAGATGCATGAAACAGGAGTTTTACTATGTATATTTTCTTTTTGTTCAGGAGATGAGGACCTTCGTGCAGGGATTCGCCACCACCCTTCTGGACCACGTCAGGACCTCGAGCGAGCTCGAGATCTTGCTGAACTACGATCCAGAGGGTGACGTCTGGGAACCGGGTGAGCACCAGAGTTTGGAACGACTCAAGCTGGCCATCAAGTATAAACAAAAAATGGTAGGTGATATTCTAGTAGCAACAATAAATAAAAATTCTTACTGTTATCATTACATAGTAACAAACAGTTATTTCCAGTTACCGATTAAAAACTTATTGCAGAATTATTCATAGCAACGGAATAATAAGGGAAAATCTCCGTATTTTTCTCGAGTCGAAAATTATTGTATTTTTTACAGAATTGCAAAAAAATAGAAATCGGATTTGAATAATTTAATTTAAACAAAATGTTTAAATTATGAAATTCTAATGAATGTTTGCAGTTTATAGACTCATCATTTTCTAGTTTTCATAAACATTCACATATTGGAAGCTACTAAAAAAGTTTACAAAGTTCATAATAGTTATACTACAATGTTCAATTGTGCTACCTCCTTTAAAATTTAATTCTTTTGATTTAGATGTTTCTGAATGAAATATAAAAATAAGAAATACTATGAAACTGCTATGAAATTTCCAGAAATGTCTTCAAACTTTACGCTTGCTCATATTAATATCTAATTTTAGTTCACTACTAATTCCAAAATTCCTAACTTTAGTATTCATGAATATTATTTGAATGAATCACTTTAAATTTGAAATAATTGCAAAATGCGTATATTTGAGAATTGCATTAAATTTTACACTATGTAAATAAAAGAAGATGAAAATTAAATATCCAAATGTTTACAATCAAATGGCAGATATCACATTTGACTGAAATTTAATTAAACCCATCTATACTTAATTTTTTTTCAACATGTGCGCATAGCGAGAAAGTGATGAAAAACTTTTTGCAATTAATTGGCAGTACAACTAGAAACAAATATGTTGTAGTAAAAAGTTACAACGTTAAAAGGTTAAACGTTGCAAGGTTAAATAATACAGAAATTATATTGTAGATGTTGAAAAGAACCGAAAATGGTGACAAAAATAGTTCTATAAACAAATAATTTTTGAATATAATAATTACAAAGTAATATATACCTTCCAAATTATTATCTGAAATATTAAATAGATGAGAATTACAAACGATTTTGGAAGCTGAGTGGGCAACAAGTAGAACTTTTTCAATGTATTCCCTCTATTCTGTGAATTCCATTTAGGATTACGCTGTTCGCAAAAATGTTTATACTGATCGTAAATAAAGCGAATAATTTTAGATATGTGAAGTCGTCCGGTCCGTCGTAACTCGAATTCGGCGCAGAACCGAATTTATTTAACACCTGTATTTATTTTTCGTTCGAAAATTTGCTCTGTTGTTGTGTGAAATGTATTTTTTTTGTTCGTATTGATTTCGCTCGCGGATATCCGCTCGAATTAAATGAAAATCCGTTGTAATTAGTGTTCGCGATTTAATGGATCCATCCTACATTTATAATAATCTGTTTTTGCATCCAATACCTCCGTCCACACAGGCGAGCACAACACCTCCCGAAAATAAAAAACGTCACCGGAATCGCGAAAAATTGCACTTTACTCATATTTTTTGTTTTGTAAACATTTCATTTAAAATCGAAGAGAGTTCTACACTTACGTGGTTCTTTCAATTGCAAGGCGACACACTTTGATGCTCGATTTCGTTTGAACAACATCGGTACAAACTAGGCTATTGTCCTCCAAGTACGGAACTCTTAATCAATAATTAATGGATGATCCATGGCTGTACGTGATTGAAATCATTCGGCTGTTTTCCTAAGGATACCGCAAGGAAGTGTGTGCATTTGATAAACCAGTTCCGGTGCGGTTCCGCTTTTATCGCCGTTGTTTTTCTCAAAGAACGTTAATTTATATAAAAAAATAAATAAATATGCAAAACAAACAGGGATCTCTGATTGCGCTTACCTTTAATTAAAGAAACGCCCGTAATTATTTTAGAACTCGGAGCATCTCATCAATGTTTTATGAGTGTTTGCAGTTCCCGCTCGCCGCATCTATTTCGGTGAAAACCGATTTCTGCTGTTACGACTTCTATTCATTAAAAATTATAAAATGAGAAAGCCACAGTGCTGATTTATCAAAATTGATACGTTACAGTAAATTAAGTCCCATGATGCGGATACTTTCATCGCTGTTTATTATGACGTTACGCTTCTTGGCGTTCTGTTCAAAAAGGAATAATAAATAAGGCTCCTTCTTTCCATTAATAAACTTAAACATTTCAAACTTCTGACTTTTGCTAGGCGATTTTTTTTTTATATTATTCAATTTTTCATAAACAAAACTAATAAATTTTGAAGTTTTTGATAATAATTTCGTTTAAAAATTGTTAAGGATAAATGAAAATAATTTTAAGAAACAATTGTAATAACAAAATAATAAATCTTAGTTGTAGTTTGTAGCTCATCCGAGCGTGCAGCAACTTTTGGCAGCAATTTGGTACGAGGGGCTACCAGGATTCCGTAGGAAAAGCCTCGTCGGCCAATTGGTCCAAGTAGCTCATCTTGGAGCGATGTTTCCAATCTACTGCACGATCTACATGATGAAACCGGAATCGGAGATGGGACTCTTCCTGAAGAAACCCTTCGTCAAATTCATATGTCACAGCACTTCGTACGCCTACTTCTTAAGTACAAATATTGGAGCATCTTCAAACCACAAAAAATGTATTTTGATTTCCTTCGCACAGTGCTGCTGGGAGCCGCCTCTCAGCGAGTGGAAGTCCTAGCGATCCAGATGTTCGGGAACGAGTGGATGCAAGAGATGGTAGCTGAATGGAGGAGAAAGGAGCGCGGCGCCGGGCCAGGAATTGCTGAATGCGGCGTAATCCTTTATATGATAAGTGCGTCCGGAAATTAACGAATTTCTGCAAAAATTGACGATATTTCTCTGCAGGTTTAATATGGGCGGAGATAAGGACGTTGTGGACAGAAAGCTTTTCAGATTACCTATCCGATCTGTGGAACATCGTGGACTTCATTACGCTAACCTTCTACATGACATGGCTAGCTCTGAGGATGTCGTCCATCTACACGGTCTGGGTAAATAACAAAATTCCGGAAATTCAATCTAATTTGTTTAAATTATCTCTCTCTGTTATATTTATAAAACTAAGAAAATAATTCCCACTTCATACGCTATTTAATCGTAATTTATCTGTTGAATGTAAGCGCGAAGCGAGTCAAGGACGAGATCCATGGTATCCTCGAGAACAGTGGGAATCTTTCGATCCGATGCTGCTCTCCGAAGGAGCTTTTGCAGCCGGAATGATTTTCAGGTGATTCACAAAATAATCAATTCCATTTGGCAATCCAACAGTTTATCTTTATAGTTTCCTCAAGCTTGTCCACATCTTCAGCGTGAACCCGCACTTGGGACCGTTGCAAATCTCATTAGGTCGCATGATCATCGACATCGTCAAATTTTTCTTTATCTACACCTTAGTGTTATTTGCTTTTGGTTGCGGTTCGTGGCATCAAATCATTTGTCATTTCCTTTATAACATAAATTCGTTTTCAGGTCTAAACCAATTGCTCTGGTATTACGCCGAATTGGAGAAGAGCAAATGCTATCATCTGCCTAGCGGTTTACCTGATTTCGATAACAATGATATGGCATGCAGCATTTGGCGTAGATATGCAAAGTTAATAAGATATTTATTCATTAACTTTTCAATCACTAATTACTAATTATTTTTATAGTCTATTTGAAACATCTCAGTCCCTTTTCTGGGCTAGCTTCGGTTTGGTAGATCTCGTGTCTTTCGAGTTAACAGGCATCAAGGGCTTCACGAGATTCTGGGCTTTGCTAATGTTCGGATCGTATTCCGTCATCAACGTAATTGTTCTACTCAATATGCTCATCGCTATGATGTCCAACTCTTACCAAATTATTTCAGTAAGTTAATAAAACTAAAATTACGTACAACATTTCTACAATACAGTTGTAGACTATACAGTCTGCTTTCAACAGAATATAGCAATACCTTGCAGAGTGCGGTTTCGATCAGTGCAATTTCACTATAGTACGATTTGAAAATTTCAAAACAAACTAACTATTAATTGAACAAAATAATCGGTTCAAATGTGAAAATATCAATTTTTTTTTTAGGAAAGATCCGATTCCGAATGGAAATTTGCAAGGTCCAAACTGTGGATCAGCTATTTCGACGACGGAGACACTCTACCACCTCCATTTAACATATTCCCAAGACCAAAGAATCTGTTAATGTGCAGGAATAAAGATGGTAGAACGAAGTCGTTTAAGGTAAATAATTCAAGTAATAAATAAATGCGTTTTTATTTTCATTGAAAATTTGCAGAGGAGGACCAAAGAGAAGGAACGCTTGATTCACGAGAAGATGACCAGGATGTTAGTGAGAAGATTCGTGATGGCGGAGCAAAGGAAACGCGACGATTTCGGAATCACCGAGGACGATGTTTTGGAGATCAGGCAGGACATATCGAAGATGCGTTACGATTTGTTGGACATATTCAAGTTGAACGGAATGCAGACACCAAATTTGTCTTCGGAAACAGAATGTAATTCTGAGATTAATTTAAAAACTTAAGAAGTTAAATTTTTTGCGTGTTTCAGTGTCCGGGAAGAAAGGTAAAGTGATGGAGCGACGATTGCTGAAGGATTTCCACATCGGTATAGTTGAGCAAGCGGTGAGCGAGGCGATGAGCGCTTCCAAAGAACCGAAAGATATCTTCGGGCATTTGGCTAAGGTCATTGGTAGAGGATCGAAAAATAAGTCGAACAAAAAGGATTGGAACTCTATGGTAAGGAAGGGCACCATCAAGGATCAAATTGGAACGACGAAGAGTGCGGATGACGCGCGTATAGGACGACAAAGTTTGCGGAAGCACATCTTGAGTAACGTTTCTTCGAGATCGGGTATCGATCAAAATAAGCTCTTGGGTAAATAAATATTAGTTTAGTTTTCGCTTCAGTTTTTTTTTATTTACGCGACCTTTGCAGAGTACAATCCGAAGCTGTCCGAGGTTCCGAGAGGCGCTAGAACTGCGTACGCGAAGTTCATGACCAAGAAAATCCAGCAGGATTATACCGAAGAGGATGACACCGCCAAAGCCGAGGGCGTCGCGATGCCGGGGAAGAGCGTCAAGAAGCCGGCACCGCCGAAACCTTCCGTAAAGTTCAAACGTAAGTCGTAATTTAAAGTTTGAACGATGTTCGTTCGTCAAAGTTAAATTGGAAGCGACGTTTCGTGATTACTATAAAATACATACGTATATTCTGAGGAGGATGCACTCATTGTTATCCGGCAATTAATTAAGGAGTTCTCGAATCGTTTGTAAACTATTACGAATCAGTGAAATAAAAAAATAGAGAATAAAAAATCGCTTACCTCTTGCCGATGTATTGCATATGCACATGCAACTTTCTTTTCTTGATCTTGATGCTGTTGGGGTTGATGTTAAATCGCTTTGATGTTCGACAGATTCCGTGGATAGTAGCAGCGGCACCGTGGAGGAGACCGACAAGAAAAGTGATGCGAAAGGCGCCGACGGAGTGGAAACTAAAATAACTGGAAGTGGTGACACGGCATTCAAGTCTGCGGTGAGATGTGTTTATGTTTGATATTTATATTACATACACGGTGTTTCGACGCATCCCAATCCTCGATCCCTACAACGTTCAGCTGAACTTCCGCACTGCACTACAGAAAAAATATCATTAACACTGGCAAAAAGAAAACACTATTAATTGTTCTATTTTCTTAATGGTAAAGAAACATGTAAATTTCAAGTTCATGATTTAAAAAATCCGGATTTTAAATTGAAGTTTTCTTACATTACTATATTTTCAGTAGAAAATTCTTGTTTTATTTGAATAAATAATAGTATTTATTGCAACAATAAAATACAATAATAAAAAAATAAAAGAAGAGACAAATTTTGTTAAATATTTTCAATATATTAATATTTAAGTCTAATAAAGCGAATCACAAACTATTTACCTAAAAAAAACCAATAATATTAAAGAGGAAAAACCATCTAAATTTTATATTTTGGAAAATTTATAAAATTCTATATTATTTTCCAAATGTAGCATCATTACACTGACCTGTTCAATTTTATTTTTCCGCAATTATTTTTTCAAACATTAATATTAATAAATGCGCTACAAAAAAAGTTGATTGCGGAAAAATTCTCATTTGCGAACGAAAATTGGTGCATATTTTTTGTTGTTGAAAGGTTGGAGTGTTCCCATTAAGGTTGCTGAAATATTTAAGCAACATTATTTGATGGAGGAAGCTTTTTTTCGAACACACACACATCCAAATGTAGTTTTTGTACGCTTTAAAACACGTAACCAGTTTTCTATTAGTATCGATGTATAATCAATGGGAAATGACATTTTGCTATTTGAAATTTTGTTGAGCAATGTTCGAATTTATTATTTCCTATTTGGTGAAAAACGTTAAAAAATGTTATTTTATATAAAGTGAAATAAAGTTACGTACTAAAGATACGCCAAAAATTTCTTTTGTTAGCTCGAACTCAGAAAAACATGATTTAAATTATTGCGTAACTTGGCTACATTGAATAAAGAATGTAATATACAAATAGTTAAATATACATATAGAAACATAACCTTATAAAACTTAACCTATAAATTTATTACGTAACGAAAAATATCATTTCAATTATATTCAAGTGATTAAAAGATATACTTATTAGAAAAGTCACTAGATCTAATTGTAATATAATTAAAAAGAAATGCGAATATATTTAAGTATACTTAAGTTAAGTGTTAGAGTAATAAATTCCTAAGATCACCTCTAAGAATCTTTATCACCTTCTCAGATCTTTATTTTCATCTCTCTCTATCTTTTGATCTTCGTTACACCAAAAGTGCTCCAATTTACCTACTCTTCCATTTTTTTTCATCAATTTATTTATTTTATTCGCCTTCCTTTGCGCTCCGTTCTTTACGATGTAAACAGTTAAACGCACGTCGTCGATTTCGACGTTCTTCCTTCTCATCCTTCGAATCGCTTTCATCGTCGGAATCACCCTGTAGATTTTTATTTATTTGTCGACGCGATTTGTTTACACGCGCGGACACAATTTGCGCGCAGCACATCCGATGCGGCCCGCAAAATTGTTAACTTAGAATTAGAATAAAAATAAATAGACGAATCGAATCGGTTCAAGGCTTTCTTCATCCACATCCTTCTAACACAACAATAATTCTTGCTGCGAAAACAACGATTGTTTATTTGTTATCAATTTCATTGTTTTTTTTTTATTTCAAAATTTATTTGAGAAAGTTTATATTTTCGTAACTTTACTTAGCTTTTCTTTGTAAGATTCACATGAAGCTAATTGTAACTTATCGACAAAATTTATTAGGTTATTTTTCTTTCAATCAAATTTGAAATACAATATTTTGTATAATTATTCAAATGTTAAATTTTTATTAATTTTATAAATTAAAAGTTTCAGTGGAAAATAATGAAAATATATGCAATAGCAACACGTTGAAACAATTATGAAGTTAAAAATAGAATTAAATCTACTTCTGGATTGAGGTCAATGCACTTACTTCCGTTTTTCATCCAGCATCAAATATCTGTTTCCCCGTTGTATTTATATACTTTGAAATATCGACCACTCTATTTTTAAGATCTTGATCACAACTTTTGATCATTCAAAAAGTAGTAGTTCTTTTTTAATGATGAATCTTACCTTTTGTTTTGCTTTGCAGGAATCTAAAAGCGCGCAGGAAAATAATGATAAGAAGACCGATGATAAGCAGAAAACCGAAGATTCTAAAGAATCAATGGACGTGAAACCTAAAGATGAAAAACCGAAAGAGGAGAATCCAAAAGAGGAAAAACCGAAAGAGGAAAAACCGAAGGAAGAGAAAGTAGCTAGTGGAGAAAAAAGTAAGGTGGATGAAACGAAGGAGAAAGATGGTAAGTCGAAGGGTGAGAAAATTGACGATAAAAGTGAAGAGGCAGCAAAGGATGCGAGTAAAGATGATAAGAAGAAAGACAATGATGATAAAAAGGTGAAACCAAAGGAAGATAAAGCTGGAACATCAAAAGATGATAAGAGTAAAGTGGAGAAGGAGGTAAAGGCGGTTTTAACTATTGAAAATGAAAGGCCGTCAACTGGTGGGAAATCCAAGTTGTCGGGGAAAGTGAGAACCGGATGGATTTAGATGCAAAGTTGAGTTTATAATTGTATTTTAGGTTTAAAGTTTTGAGTCTTTCACTTATTCAGTTGATATTTATTTAACACAGAATATACATTATAAAATATCGAGGAAATAAAGTTCTCTAATATATATATATTTATACTTATGTTTGTAGATATAATATTAATACGTTCCAGCCACCAAGAGTTTAATCATAAATAAAAATCAGAACATTACCATACATTTACTTTTATATTACAAATTGTTTTCGAGAAACCAGTTTAAGCTTGAATATCTTCGTCTTGTTGTTGTTGTTGCTGCTTCTGTTGTTCCTTCTGCTTTCTCAAGAGGTCCATCAACATTTGCAACACTTGGTTGTGCTTCTGGTTGTAGACGACCTCCGGATCTCGGCCGAACCTCATGAAGTTGTCGTTGCGGCCGAAACGGAGGAAGTTGCTGTTCCTTTCCGGACGCTTCTCGAAGTTTGCGGAGCGCTTGTTCCTCACGGACTTGACGGTGGAGCCGCTCCTGCCGAACCTCAAGAAGTGTCCTTTGTCCCTGCCGAAGCGTAAGAAGTCGCTGTTTCCACGTCCGAAGCGGATGAACTGATCGGATTTGTCACCGAGAACGCGAGTCGGCCTGTCGTATCCTTCTTCCATTTCGTAATTGGCGGGAAGATCGCCGCGTCCCAAGCGCGCAAAGTTCTTGTAAAGGGTGCTCCTCCTGCTCGGCTCGCTCGACCTCTGTTCCGACTCCGACCTAGTGTCCACATAGAGGTAGAGGTCATCGTCTTCTCCGGATGTTTGCGGCAGTAAATAACCTTCCTCAGGCGAGGCATAGGCCCAGATCGGCTCGAGAGCGGCCAGCAAGAACAGCAAGTTCAGCATCGTAGACATTATCTGCAAACCGAACGGGAACAAAAACCACAAAGAAATTTAGATTTTGTGAAGATATAATAAGAAAGAAAAAAACACAGCGTTAAGTGTGTAAATTTACTAATTAAATCTCGTCGCGGAAGTGCAGTAATTGGAAATTCCTCGCCGCTTTTGATTTTGGCACGTTTAAATGGTGGAAAATATTAATGATCGCTCAGCAAGGAATCCCAAGCGAGCGCACGAATTATTACAATAACATCATTCAAACTCTATTTCGCGTTCGCACTTAAAATTTAATGAATTATGAACAATTTAATTAAACGCTAACCTCTCCATCCGCCATTCAAGTACAAAAGAAAATCATAATTCGACTATTTACCAAACAAATAAAAACAACTTAAATACTTCTAACAAATTAAATAAAAACGATTAAAAAAAACTAAAATTTAATAAATTTATAAGATTTGCGAAATATTTTTACAAATACAAAAATGATCTTGAATATTCGTTATTCGCTCTTGAACTTTCCATCCGTGGCATCATTATTAATCTTTACATTTTTCCATATTAGTTCATTTGCCTCAAAAAATCCGATTCGAATTCAGTTCAAATTTACGAGATTAAAAAACATAATAGGTACCTTAATATTAAATGATGAGAATACGCGTATTATTTATCACTTTCTTAACACAGCCAAAACTCCAAGATATTAATCATGCGCAACGCGCAATTTTGCCAAGAAAAAAATGTTTATTGTTTTAAACGTCTTGGGACACGTTGTTAACATTTAAGACTGGATGTAATTATGTATCCTCCTCTTGCTGCCGCGAGACGGTTTTCAGTTCTAAGGTCAATTTTGAGCGTCGCTCCTTCCTGCTGCAGACATTTATCAGGATCGCATGTCCGACACCTCAGAAGACTTAGCCTTCTTACATAACAACACCACTCCAACTTTTTTTCTTAGCGCACTCAGACGCTGCAATTACGTTAGAAAACTGGCGGAGAGAAAGTAAAGAAATAAATTTAGAAGAGTGAAAAAAAAACAAACAACAAAAAAGTACACTAAACACGAGATTTTTATATGCGAATGAAAAGCCAACGAAAATAATTACAACGGCGTCAAATTCTCTGCCGAGGCAAAAATAAATATATATGTATAAAAAAAAATGGGAAGCAAAGAGACAACGAAATTAAAATTCATCTCGGCTTTAGGCACTGAATGCATTAATTCACTTTTATGTAAATTAATCCTTTTCAGAAATCAATAAAGTTTTAACCACTTTTTTATGCAGAAATATAATCTTTTTTATTTTATTATTCTATGCCATAGAAGCTCCCTATTTTCTATCTGATTTTTCGCATAGAATCTCCGAACAACAAATTAAAAAACTGTTGCTTCATTCGCAGATAATACAGCACTGATAGTTAACCAGAAGTTGCATCACAAATTGCAATCAAACTGAAGACTGGCTCAATGTCAACGAAACGAAATCGACTCTTGTCTATTTTATAAAGAATAAGGAAACATCTCCTCCGGTAAATCTAAATAACAAAGTTTAAGACTGGAGGATCATGTAAAATAACTTGATATGCAGCTGGATAGAAGACTAACTTGGAAGAAACACATAGGGATAAAGAAACAGCAAACTTTATTGGCTGATTAGAAGAAAATCAGTGCTATCGCTAGACCACAAATTATTAACATATCTAAACTATCCTTGTAAGGAATACTCAAAAACAAACTCAAAGTGAAGTCTTATAAGTTCCAAAAAGAACAAGATCTCACCGATGTTAAAAAAAACTAGGCTCTATAGTGCGAAGGAGCTGTTGCGCTTGCACGAACGCGGCCATTTGCCAAATATCGTCTTGTCTGATGAGAAAAAATTCCCAAATTTCGAATTTACTTAGAAGTCATACGAAAATTTAGACATTCGAATAGCCACAAGAAGTCAAGTACCACAGTTTGTGGTAGTTTGGGAAGCTGTGACGGTCGATAGTCGCTCTCCGTTGGTGTTTTTTGACCGTGGCGACAAGGTTAATGCAGTGGACAACCAAACATTTCAATCAGAAAGAGTGTACCTTTCATGAAGATTCTGCACCATAACACAAAACACTCGAAACCAACAATGGCTGAGAGACAACGTTCCACACTTCATTTCGACCACACAGTGGTCTACACGGTGACTTGATGCAAATCGACTTCTCGGTACGGGCCAATGTCAGAACTAAAAAATATCATAGTGTTAATGTGCTCAAGAAATCCCTTCTTCTTGAATGGAGGAAGTTTCCGCAGGTTTACATTCGTACAGCGTGTGACTCGCTTGTCGACCTACTCATAGCGGTGGCAATCGCAAGCCCGACAACCGAAATCCCGTCTATCGAAATCCCGACGTTCGAAATCTCGGCTGCTTCAAAATTCCGACGTTCGAAATCCCGACTACCATAAGACAATCAAAATCCCGACAGTGTCTTTTATTATTATAAATTTTTACAATAACATTTTTATGGTAGTCGGGATTTCAATATATTCGGGATTTTGATTGTCGGGATTATGGTAGTCGGGATTTTGACATAGTCGGGATTTCAAGCGTCGAGATTTTACAGCTGGGATTTTAATAGACGGTCTTTCGGTTGTCGGGCTTGCGATATAGACCCACTCAGAGCTATAGTTCTATAGCTAGAGGCGGCCATATCAAAAATTTGAATTTTGAATTCGAAAAATTTAATTGTTTTCCAATTGCTTGTGGTTCAATAAAATCAAATTTTAAATTAAATAAATACAGCGTTCTGAATATTAGCTAAATACTGTTGTATTGTCAGCAAATACTGTTCTATGTGATAATTATACCAGCAACAAATTTACTTATTGTCCTTCTTGTGAAAGATCGTAAATATTAAAAAAAAATTCTAATTATAATTAAACTTCGCGCAACGTAAATGACAAAAATAAAATTGCTTTTGGATGTTTGATGAAAATCGGCTCATTTTCATTTCAATATTTCGGCAATAATTAATAACGCATTAATTCGAATCCGTCGGATCAAAATGTAAACAAACATTATTAACCGCAATAGCCAGCCAACATACTTACAAACTGAACAACGATTAAATGCGAAACTCATCAATAATTTATTGCAACAATTCAAATTCATTTAAATATAACATTTATAAAAAAAAAATATTTTTATGTTCAAATGGGTTTAATGAAAATCATTGCTAAATGAATATAATGATTATTTTTCTATGTAATGAAAAACAACTTTGAAATCAATGTATTATGATTGTATTATGCAGGCGCTTGTTGCGAAAACATGCTAAATTATTAAGAAAAAAATGAGAGCCCGTAAAATGAATCCGTGAATTATTAATCAATCAATTAGAATCATCGTGTTCGATTAAGTGTTTTTAAAAGCATATTATTCTGTATAATAAAGCCAAAGAAATTTTCAAATTCCAAAAACAAATAGAACTTTCTAAATAATGCACTATTAATAATGCATAATTAAAATTTAATTTGTTTTGAAATTTTCAAACTGGAGTATGGATTAATAAAAGAAAATGGAAATAATTTGGATATAAAATTGGAAATATTGAATATTTGTTGTTGCTTACTGGGTAAAAAGCAATTATCAAATCAACACAGTTAATATTAATTGAATAATTTAATTAAGTGAAAACGTTTCGATCGAATCGAACCAATCAAACACATTGAAGAGGTATTTTGAAATAAATATTTATAGATAAATTCAACTTAATTATATTGCAAATATTTACCAGGATTTCAATTTATTGACTTACATTTCATGTAAACTACAAAATTAGATTTATACAAGCCGAGAAGTGATGTTAATAAAAAAAAAGTTAAATAATAATACAAGATTTGTGCAAATGGTTAATCGTAAATATTTATAGATAAATTCAACTTAATTATATTGCAAATATTTACCAGAATTTCAATTTATTGTCTTACATTTTATGTAAACTACAAAATTAGATTTATACTAGCCGATAATTGATGATAATAAAAAAAGTGAAACAATAATACAAGATTTGTGCAAATGGATAATCGTAAATAATAATAATTTTAGAAAGTTAAACAAAACAAAAATTAACAAATTTTCAAATTATTCGTATATTTACAATGAATGATATTTGTGCAAATCGTAAGTGATCATAATTAAAAAAATTAAATGAAAAAAATATTGTTCGTATATTTGAAATGAACGAGATTTGTGCAAATTGTAAATGAGCATAATTTGGAAAGTTGAATCAATAAAGTATTGACAAATTTCCAACGTATTCGTGTATTTCATATGAACGAGATTTATGCAAATCGATAATCGTAAATGATCACAATTTGGAAAGTTGAATGAAAAAAAGTATTGGTGAATTTTCAAAGTATTTGAAATAAACGAGATTTACACAAGTCGATAATTGTGAGTGAGGATAATTTCAGAAAGTAAAACGTGAAATATATTGCGGGATTTTCAAAGTTTATTTCTTCAGTAAAACGAAAACCAATGCAACGATTTATAGGTTTATGTTTGTTTCGCACTTTTCGACGATGAAAAAAAAAATACGAAAAAATAGAAAAGAGATGAAAACGGTGAGGTGAGTTAACGGTGAGTTGTCGCAGATTAAAGGTAATCCAATTCGGTCACGAAATCGCGAAACAAAGCAAAAGCGGAGCACCGTTCATCCGAGTTTATATTTGATAAACATTTAAAAAGTTCCCGGCTTCGGCAAATGGAGTAGCTAATAGTCGGTGAAACGGGATTGGATTCCCACGCACGTAAACGGAGGACGTAAAATCTAATTTGTCCAAGTTCGAGCGACAGACCGACCGACCGAGGAAGTTGCAACAGTTTTCGTACAAAACTCGTTCATCCTCCACAAACTGTCTGTGCGAATCCGCACTCACATATTTCCGTCAAGTGACTAATTCTGCTTTACGTTTATCCTCCTTCAAAAACGAGGATACAGACACAATGCGATGCAGAAGGTGAGAGAGAGAAAATATGGAA